GGGAAAAGCTTGCAGGAAAGATTCTGAAAAATAAGGAGGGCCTCTGCCTGCTCAGATGGCATGCCTTGGGCTGCTTCCCTCTTGCAAAATCAGCATCCCATTGGGCAAGTGTAACTGCACATTTAAGACTGCACCCACCCCCGCTGTCATTCAGACTTCTGAACAAAATATTTCTATAGAAAAACATCAGGGGCTGGGGCTGTGGCACAGCGGGTAAAGCCGCCGCCTGCAGTGCTGGCATCCCACATGGGTGCCAGTTCATGTCCCGGCTGCTCCACTTCTGATCCAGCTCTCCGCTGTGGCCTGGGAAAGCAGCAGAAGGTGGCCCAAGTCCCTGGGCCCCTGCACCCGCATGGGAGACCTGGAGGAAGCTCCTGGCTGCTGGCTTCAGATTGGCACTGCCATTGCAGCCCTCTGGGGAATGACCCAGCGGAGGGAAAACCTCTCTCTCAGCCTCCTGTCCTTATAAACACGTGAGAACTCCATGGAAGGGGATCCCTGCAGCCGCAGCTAATGCAGGAACACCTGGGGCACCTTCACGCAGATCACTCATCACACCCGATAGCTCTCATGCCTCGGGGACTGTTAGGAGGGTCCCAGGTACGGCCTTGGCATTGTCAGTGAGCTGTGCTTAAAGCAGGCCTCCATCCCAGTTTCTGGTGCTTTCTCAGAACGTTTAAGAGACAAGCAGTTAATTATTACTTCACAAGGGCGGCTGTAACAAGTTGTCAAGACAGCAGCTGAAAAAATCCTGGGGTGTGTGTCCTGGCCCCGTAGGCTAGGCTGTAGTGTCTGATGGCAGTGGCCTGTAGCAGGGTTCTGGTTCAAGCCCCAGTTCCTCTGTTTCCGCTCCAGCTCCCTGCTAATGTACCCAGGAAGCTGGCGGTGATGAGCCACCCGTGCCTCCCATGTGCAAGTCCTGGGTAGAGCTCTCGGCTCCATCTGGCCCAACCCTGGCTGCTGTGGGCATTTGGGGAGTGACCTGACAGATGCAAGATTCTCTCTCTCTCTCTCCCCCACCCCACCCCCGTGTAAATAAATAAATCTTAAAGCAATTTAAAAACTTTTCTTTTTTAAGGTGGACACTGTGCAGTGAGTGAAGCTACCTCTTGTGTGGTGAGGATCTTGTTCCCGTGTGGTGCCCGTGAGGACAAGGAGGAAGGCAAAGCCAAGTCCGTGTCTATTTCGTCCAGTGTCAGCGTCTTCATCAATTCATGACGATTCTCCCCTCCCCTCCTCGACCCTGCAAACCCGGCGAAGCACAGGGGCAAAGCCTCACCGAAGCTCACAGCGACAGTGACAACTACAATGACATTTCGGTTCTGACTGTCGGGTGTTTCACGATCTCGCCGAGCCCTGAAGCCAGGGAGCATTCCAGATGTCACTGAGGGCCACGTACAATTGTCCGTCCTTACACACACGGCGCCCGCTGTTCCAGGTGCGCCCCAGTGGCTCCAGTGTCCGCCTCCACCTGCGTGGCCTTCTGGAAAACGCTGAGGCCTCGGGGTGGAGGGGACCTGGGGGACAGCACAGCGCCGGCCCAGGCCAGTCGGGATCACCGTCGGCACCCACGTCCCCGTGTGCGTTTCTGGAAACGTGGAGATTCCCGCCCCCAAGACTGCAGGGTTCTGCGGGCTCACCGGGACACCGGTGGTCAGGGGCCCGGCCCTCAGCTCCCGGGCAGCCCTAGAGAGCGGGTGCGGGCGGCACGGCGGGTCACGCGCTCTCAGACCCGCGTCCGGCAGGCGGGAGAAGCCCTGGGTCTCTGGTCGGGGCGCAGTCTGACCCGGGATGCCCTGGTCTCCATCCCCACACCAAACATGGGCCCAGAGGTCCCCACAGGACGCGCGACACCCAGCGCTCAGGTCGGAGCTCAGCGGGGAGCCCGAGAGGGGAGCGCTGTGTGCGGGACCCCAGGGCAGGCCAGGAGGACGCCCGCTCCCCCCATCAGATCCTGGGTTCCATCCCCAGCTCTGCTCCGGACTCCGGCTGCAGGGGTGGCTTGGGCGCTCTGGCCCAGCACGGAGAGACCCGGATGGCGCTGCCGCCCCAGCACTGCAGGCCTGGGGAGTGACCAGGAAGGGAGCTGGGTCTGACTTCCACCCCCAGCACTGTGTCTTCCATGGCACAGCTGTGGACCCCAGTCCCCACCCCCTGCTGTCAGCAACGTGGCTCTGCTGAGGGGTGGGGGACATGGAGCAGCCCACTGTGACCCCCTGGGCCTCTGGCTGTTCGCTTCAGTTAAAGGGGAAGAGACCCAGGAAGTGTTAGGAGTCAAGTGTATGGGAGGTGCAATCACAGATGGCTTTCTGGAGGAGGTGGCACTTGAGCCAGGTCCTGTAAAGGGACAGGCAGCCAGGTCGGGAGAATGAAGGCAGCTGTGAGAGGCCGACGCGTCCAGCCCCAGGGGTGCTTCTTCCAGGTGACACCCCGGTAGCCACCGCCAAGAACATGCCTGGGGACAGCGCAGATCTGTTTGGGGACAGCGCGGCAGAGGACAGCGGTGCGGCCAACGGGGCCTGTGGCCCACGGTCATCATCAGGGAGCAGGAGCACAGCATCGACCTGCGCATGATCCGGCCGCACATGAAGGTGGTCACCCACAGAGGTGAGGCCCCCCCGTTACCACGTGGTCACCCACGGAGGGGAGATTCCCCCCCCCCCCGTACCAGTGCTCACCTACGGAGGTGAGACCCTACCCTAGTACCCGTGGTTGCCCACAGAGTTCAGACCCCCCCCGGGTACCCGTGATCACCCACGGAGGTGAGGCCCCCCTGGTTACCTGTGGTCACCCATGGAGGGGAGGCCCCCCAGTTACCACGTGGTCACCCACGGAGGGGAGAGCCCCCCCATACCAGTGCTTACCCACAGAGATCAGACCCCCCCGGGTATCCGTGGTCACCCACGGAGGTTTGGCACCCCCCTGTTACCTGTGGTCACCCATGGAGGGGAGGCCCCCCAGTTACCACGTGGTCACCCACGGAGGGGAGATCCCCCCGTACCCACAGAGGTCAGACACCCCCCCCCGTATCCGTGGTCACCCATGGAGGTGAGACCCCTCCGGTTACCTGTGGTCACCCACGGAGGTGAGACCCCCCCTCCCTGGGTACCCGTGATCACCCACGGAGGTGAGACCCCCTCGGGCACCCGTGGTCATCCTGGAGGTCGGACCCCCTGCTGGGTCCGGAAGATCCTCCGTGTCCCTGCGTGGTTCAGAGCCCAGCGATGGCTGCCCTCACAGGCTACCACAGCGAGGGCCTCAACGCCATCATCGTCTATGCCGCCAGCTTCCTCCAGGACAGCAGCTGCCCAGACTACCACTATGTCCTGGAGAACCTCTTCCTGTGAGCGGGCGGGGAGGGGCCAGGACCGGCAGGGCGGGCAGGAGGCGGGGCGGGGAGGGTGGGCGGGAGGCGGGGCAGGCGGGAAGCCGGGCAGGAGGCGGGGCGGGCGGGGACCTCCCAGGCTCCCCCTGCTGGCCCACTCTGGGCCTTCCCTGGGCGCCGGGGCTCCGCAGCCGCCACACCACACACGTCCATCACCAACACCATACCGTGAACACCATCACCGTCACCACAGCCATCGCCAGACCGGTCCTGCGGGGGCACGAGGGGCTGCAACACGGCCCCCGCCCCTCCCCAGAGCTCTGCGGCCCCTCCCCACAGCCCGCGGCCCCTCCCCAGCGCCCCCGGCCCCCTCTCAGAGCCCCGCGCCCCCTCCAGAGCCCCCGCCCCTCCCCAGCGCCCCCGGCCCCCTCTCAGAGCCCTGCGGCCCCCTCCCCAGCGCCCCGCGCCCCCTCCCCAGAGCCCCCCAGCCCCTCCCCAGCGCCCCGCGCCCCCTCCTCAGAGCCCCGCGCCCCCTCCCCAGAGCCCTGCGGCCCCCTCCCCAGCGCCCCGCGCCCCCTCCTCAGAGTCCCCGGCCCCCTCCCCAGAGCCCCCTCCAGAGTCCACGACCCCGCCTTGAGCCCCGCGCCCCCTCCCCAGAGCCCCCCGCCCTTCCTCAGCCCGCGGCCCCTCCCCAGCGCCCCGCGCCCCCTCCTCAGAGCCCCGCGCCCCCTCCCCAGAGCCCCCGGCCCCCTCTCAGAGCCCCGCGCCCCCTCCAGAGCCCCCCGCCCCTCCCCAGAGCCCTGCGGCCCCCTCCCCAGCGCCCCGCGCCCCCTCCCCAGAGCCCCTCGCCCTCCCCACAGCCCGCGGCCCCTCCTCAGAGCCCCCCGGCCCCCTCCCCAGAGCCCCCCAGCCCCTCCCCAGCGCCCCGCGCCCCCTCAGAGCCCCGCGCCCCCTCCCCAGAGCCCTGCGGCCCCCTCCCCAGCGCCCCGCGCCCCCTCCTGAGTCCCCGGCCCCCTCCCCAGAGCCCCCCAGCCCCTCCCCAGCGCCCGCGGCCCCTCCCCAGCGCCCCGCGCCCCCTCCTCAGAGTCCCCGGCCCCCTCCCCAGAGCTCGCGGCCCCCTCCTCAGAGCCCCACAACCCCTCCCCAGAGCCCCCGCCCCTTCCCAGCGCCCGCGCCCCCTCCCCAGAGCCCGTGGCCCCCTCCTCAGAGACCCCCCAACCCCTCCCCAGCGCCCGCGGCCCCTCCCCAGAGCTCCCCGCCCCTCCCCAGCGCCCGCGCCCCCTCCCCAGAGCCCCCGCCCCTCCCCAGCGCCCGCGCCCCCTCCTCCGAGCCCCGCGCCTCGCCCGAGCGGGGACCCCCGGATCCCCGAGGCCCTCGGGGGAGGCCCGGGCCGGGCCGGGCGCGGCCGCCCTGACCCCGACCCGCTGCCCCGCGCAGCTGCGTCGTCGGCAGCCTGGAGTCCTGGTGGCCGAGGACTGCGGGATCATGTACCTGAAGGGCGCCAGCCCAGCGCAGGATGCCGGCCTCGGCGGCTCAGGAAGCTGCCAGAGGACAGACAGGAGGCGCGGGCGCGGGCGCGGGCGCGGGCGGCTCTGCGCTCGGCCCGCCCGGCCCCTCAGCTGCCCTTGGCTTGTGGACGCGGCCCCCACGCCGCCCCTGCCGCCCTAAAATCTGCTTCTGGCCACCGCCTACCAAATCTGCTTTCTGTTCATCTCTGCCTCCTCAATTTCTAGCAGGTGGAGAAATGGGAGCTGGAAAACCTTCCGGGTCTGTTCTCTCCTGAGTTTTTTCTTTGGCTGTCCCAGCTGTTAGCATGGAGCCTTGCTCACCAACAGAAAACTCCCTTTTATGAAAATGCTAGCATGTAACTAAGTGGTTTATGCATTTTAGGATTTTCTGCCAGTTTTATAATTTTTTTGAAGAACGAATGATCTGTTTAATCATGGGAAACTATTGTTTCATAACTAAACTTTGAAATATGTATTTTGAGAACTTATATTTATACTTAATATATATTATATATTATATTGGCATTGATTAGCATTTTAAGTTTCTTTAGTAAAAGTATTTTTATTCTACCAAATCTGCTTTCTGTTCACCTCTGCCTCAATTTCTATAAATGTATAAATTTATATATATAATTTATAAAAAGTATAAATTTTTATAAATGTATAAATTTTTAAGGAAAAAACCTGTATTATACTTCATTTATTCTTCTTAGTAATTACATTGATGGCATTATTATGCAAATTAGGAGTGCTTGTGGCTGCAAGATGAGTATTTTTCCTAAAAGAAGAACAAAAGATAATTTAGGGAAGGGGCAAGGGGACATTTTATTTTTGGCTAATATACTGCATAGAACTGTTACACAGCTGTTCAACTGAAACGTTGCTTTGCAATCTCCATTATTTTAGTGTGTTTTTAAAATTTTTTCCAGGAGATTCTAATAAAAATGGAAGAAGAACCAAGTTCTGCTTTGGACTCTGAAGAGACTTTTAATTCTTGAAGGTAGGTAGTAAATACAGAGATATACAATATTACAGGATAATGTATAAGATCCAATATCTTAGAGGATTCTAATCTTAGAATAAATAGCAAGGAACTAGGACTTGTGCTTTTAAAATGTGATAATATTACTGTGATATGTAATTATCTGCAGAAATAATGAGTATCAGAAAATGTAATAACCCAAATTCTTGTAAATGAGCTTACATCAGATATCTGTTGCTCTCCTATCCTACAGCACACTAATTAGAACAAATGTACATGTAGTATTAACCTTTATTATAATTTGTTTTTTGTTTTTCCCATATGTCTTTTACAGTACTAAAGACTTCTTTCGGAGTACCTACGAAAGGTTAAAATGCAAATGTGATTGAATTAAGAGCTGTTTGTTAATGCCCTTTTAGGGCTCTTCAGCCAATAGGGCTGTTACAGCTCAAACAGGAAAGGATTCAGTTGGCAGGCCAACACTGCTGTCAAATAGTATTATAGTATTTAAAGTGTGAAATTAATATTTTTCTACCCAGTAGGCAGTAGCTCTCATAATGTAATAAGCTTAATTGTGAATTTGGCACTTGGGTTAAATGTAGCATTCATAGAAGCACAGTGCTGGTGTATATTTTCTTATTAATATTAATAGACAAAACCTAGAAAAATGTAGCAGTGTCACATTAAAATAGCCACAGAATTATTAGTAAAATTTGCTTCAGAAGATGAAAATTATTTTTCTGTTGCCATTATAGCTCTTTTAAACTAGCTAGTAACAGGTTATTAAAAATATATAAATTTTCCAGTGTTCAGAAGTCCTTTTGTGTAACAACTATTTAAACTGCCTCAGAAATCCTAACCTTTCTTCATAATCAGACAGCTCAGGCCTTAAGCCTACCACTGACATACTAGAGCTTATGTCCAGGGTAACGAGCTAGTTTCTCATCTGTAAAAAGGGCATTATATTGTCTGATCTGCTTCCTTCCCACAACTCTTAAATACTGGGGTAAAACATGTAAAACAAAGCCTCTTGAAAATCTAAATGCAGGGCCTGTTCCGTGGCTCACTAGGCTAATCCTCCGCCTGTGGCGCTGGCACCCCGGGTTCTAGTCCCTGTTGGGGCGCCAATTCTGTCCCAGTTATTCCTCTTCCAGCTCTCTGCTGTGGCCCAGGAAGGCAGTGGAGGATGGCCCAAGTGCTTGGGCTCTGCACCCACATAGGAGACCAGGAGGGAGCACCTGGCTCCTGGCTTTGGACTGGCGCAGTGTGCTGGCCTTAGCAGCCATTTCGGGGGTGAACCAATGGAAGGAAGACCCTAACTCTGCCTGTCAAAAAAAAAAAAAAAAAAAAAAGAAGTGATATCTGGAACTATAACAAATAAATTATGGAACTTAAATCTATGGACACTAACTACAGCTTCATATGTCTAATACTCACAGATTTATTTTTATGGCCTATGAGGTTTTACAATGATTTATATTTCTTAGTGGTTTTCTTCATTGATTCAGAGAGGTAGAAAACAAATGGATTTAACTCCTGAGACACTTCTATGGGGTTATATGATGCCTGAATGGTTTTAGGCCACATCTTGTTTTGGAAGTGTTGGTTTAAATTTAAGTATTTGGCTTCCAACTAATTTGCAGTGATGTGTTATGAGAATATATTACTAGTTTCATGCAGTACATCTTACAGGTTTTATAGACCAATGTTATATGTTTTTTGTCAAGTTACATGTGAGAGAAAACTGCCAGATGTGAAAGAAGAGAGAGTTTCCTGTGTGTGCTGCAGTGGATGTTTAACTTAGGGAATGGAGCACACATGGCCACATGGTGGAAGGAATGTTGTTTCTCCATCCTCCACCCCCTTCCCAAGGGCAACTGACCTCCTTGCCAAAAGAGGCGAGCCCTTACCAGCCCATATGACTACAGACTATTACATTAATCTGTCTAGCTGCAGTACCAGCTGCTTGCATGTTTTAGTTATCTTATTAGATGGTATAACAGTGACCTATGAAATTAATTGAAGGTGAACATTGTTAACTTCTCTTTTATTACCCTATGTTTCCCCAAATCTTTTTGATTAGATTATAACTTTCTACAAAAGTTCCTAGGAAGTCTGTTTGGTTTTTGATTCATGTAATTTTTTTAAGGTCTTTAAAGTATAATGTCATACTGCACAGTATAGAAATAATTTAATTTTGTCTCATTTATTGATAGATTTTAGTCTGTTTATATAGTTGAAAAGCCATAGTAAACTTACCTTATTAGACAATTAAGTTAGATTGAACTCAGACCAATTATTTGGCATTCTCTGAGAAACTCAAAATACTCCTTTATCTTGGCATTGCAGAAATGGCATAGTATAGAATGCAAATTATTGTATCTTGCTTTAAAATAAACTTTAAATCATATTTACCTCTTCTCTAGATTCATATATATGGTAGTTTTTCACCAAGTTTACTCTATTTTTTAATTTAATTTAACTTGGCATCATTGATGAGTATATTTTCCCAAGCTGTGCTGTTAGGAAAAAATGTATTATCCTCTGATTTTTAACAAAGGGATAATTTTGAAGTAATAATCTTTAAATGTGATGTTGACTTTAAGAGACACACAAAATAATAAAAACTAATGATAATCAATTATAAGTCTTAGCCAGTGTTCTATTATAATAATTTAGCTAGGGACCCTGATGCTGAATCTAAGAAAATAAAAAAGTTTCTGAATGCAAGAAAATCACAAAATACTTCTTTGTGTCTTTAGATAATAAATCCTACCATTGATATAGTAGGGTGACTGGAGACTTAATTCTTAAGACATGATGTTTGTGACTCCTGTTTTTTTTTAATGTATTCATACTTTCTGACAGGTGTTTTACTCTGAAGAAATACTAATTTCATATTCCAAAAGAATTTTAATTGAAGAATAAAAGGAATGTTTCTATATATATATTTATATATATAATATATATTTTTTAAGGAAAGACAGTAAAAGTTACTTGGCTTCAAATAGTGGTGGTCTAATTTCTTATATTGAAGAGAGCTTCCAAAATCGCTTCCCTTTCTCAACATGTTATGTTCTCTATATCACTGAGTCAGAGACTACCTTGGTAAAATGTTTTTTATTATTATTCTATTAAAATATTTTTGATTAGCATGCAATACTGTCGCTCCCCCATTCGCGGAGGAATGACACTGGACTCTGCGCTGTTCTTTTGTCTGCTCGGCCCTTCCCGGGTTTGCTGCCAGTCCCCCACTCGCGGAGGAACGATGCCATCCCGGGTTAGCTGCCGGCCCCTCCACCTCCGTGGAGGGGCGGCACCCCCCCGCCGCTTTCCCCGCTTCCATGGAGGAGCCGCACACCGCCGGCCGGCTCTCTCGGGGGCTGCTCAGATGTTCCTCAGGTGTTCCCTCAGATGTTCCTGGTGCATGTTGTCTCTCTCCTCCTTTATAGTCCTCTTCCACCAATCCCAACTCTGCTACCCACACGCCGAGCACGCTGCTCTCCTCCTCCAATCAGGAGCAGGATCAGCTCCTGCAGCTTATCAGTCAAACCGATGAGGCAGCTGCGAAGTTGTTTGCTCCTCCCCAGTGCCATATTGTGGGAGAGCAGATGCATAGAATTAGTCCTAGTTCCAGTAATTTAGTCTAGTCTCAGTTGCTCCCCACACAATACTTTTATGGTACAGTATTTCACTACATATACAAAGCATACCTGAAACCAGGAAATAGCTTTTCTATGTCCTCAGCTTATCTGTGTTCTGGTAGCTACTAGTTGCTCTCTTCCGGTTCTTTGTGCAGTGTATAACACATTATTGTGAGCTATAGTGGAACAGGAGCACTGTGCTGTGAACACTGGAACCAGTGCCTTCTGTCTGTGTGTGGTGCCTGTTACCCAGTCTCCTTCCATTCTCTCTCGCCATACCCTTCCCAACCTCATTGTGGTTTTGATTTACATGTCCCTGAAGGCTAGTGATATTGAACATTTCTTCATGCTTTTGTTTTCTTTTGTGTTTCCTCTCCAGAGAAATATCTATTCAGATTCTTTGTCTGTTTGTTAACTGGATTGTTCCGTTTTTGTGGTGTTTGGGGTTCTGTACATGTTCTGAGTCATAGTCCTTTGTTAGATGCACAGCTTGTAACTGTTTTCTGTCAGCTGTGATTTGTTCCTTTTGCTGTACAGAAGCTTCTTAGTTTGGGATGATCACATTTGTCTGTTTCTCCTTTCCTCTCTGTGCTCTTGGGGTCTTTTTTTTTAAAAAATTAAGGTTTGCCAATGTTTTCCCCCAGGGGTTTCATAATTTCAGGTCTTACATTTATGTCTCTTCCATTATGAGTTGATTTTAGATTATGGTGAGAGGCATGGGATGACATTTTGGATTCTGGGTATGGATATTTTATTTTAAAGATTTATTTATTTTTACTTGAAATGCAGAGTTATAGAGAGGCAGAGGCAGAGGGAGAGAGAGGTCTTTCATCTGCTGGTTCACTTCCCAGATGGCCACAATGGCCAGAGCTGCACCGATCCAAAGCCAGGAGCCAGGAGCTTCTTCCAGGTCTCCCACATGGGTGTAGGGGCCCAAGAACTTGGGCCATCTTCTACTGCTTTTCCAGGCCACAGGAGAGAGCTGGATCAGAAGTACAGCAGCCAGGACTGGAACCAGTGCCCATATGGGATGCCAGCATTGCAGGTGGTGGCACTGCTAAGCCACAGTGCGGCCCCGTGGGTATGGATATTTAGGTTTAGGTTTCCCAGCACCACTTATGTAAGAGACTGTCCTTTCTCTGGTATGAGTTTTATCAGATTTATCAAAGAGCAATTGGCTGTAGGTATGTAGATTAATTTTGATATCTCTATTTTGTTCCAATAGTCTGTATGTTTTTATGCTGATACCATACTCTTTTTATTACAGTAACTCTATAATATGTCTTGAAATCTGATGTTGTGATGCCTCCAACTTTGTTGTTCAAGATATCTTTATCTATTTGAGTTCTTTTAAAGTCCTTCTATATGAATTTTAGGATTGTTTTTTCTAGTTCTGTGAATGATGTCTATCATTTTGGTTGTAATTACATTGAAGCTGTGAATTGCTTCAGGTATCATGGACTTCTACTAGTATTAATTTTTCTAATCTGCATACAGAGAACTTTGTGGGTTTTTTTTTTGTCTTCTTCACATTCTTTCATCAGTGCTTTGCAATTTTTATTGTAAATGTCTTTCACGTCCTTGGTTAAATTTTATTCTGGGTGATGGGAGGGCAGATCTTGGCCTCACACTTAAACTGTTAAGACACTCGTGTCCCATTTGGAGTGCCTGGGTTCAATACCCGATTTCACTACTTACTCCAGCTTCCTGCTACTCCAGACCCTCAGAGGCAATGGTAATGACTCAAGTAATTTGCCTTCCATTTCTGGGACCTGGGTTGAGTTCTTGGATTTTAGGCCTGACCTAACCCTTTCTGTTGTGGCATTTAGAGATTGAACCAGCAAATGGGAGCTGCCTGTCTCTGTCTGTGTCTCTCTCTCAAATAAATTTTTAAAAATTAAAGCTTATTTCAAGATATTTCATTTTTCTATAACTATTGCTAATAGGATTGCTCTTAATTTCTCTGTTAGTGAGCCCATTATTGATGATAAAAATACTGCTTATTTTTAGGTCTTGATTTTGTTTCCTGCAGCTTTACTGAATTAATTAATCAGTTCTGATAGTTTCTTGGTGGAGTCTACATTACTCTGTATAAAGAGTTACATCATCTGCAAATAGGGATACTTCAACTTTTTTCAACTTCTTCCTTTCTTTCTTTCTTTTTTTTTGCACAGGCAGTTAGACAGTGAGAGAGAGAGACAGAAAGGTCTTCCTTCCGTTGGTTCACCCCCCAAAATGGCCACCATGGCTGGCGCGCCGTGCCGATCCAAAGCCAGGAGCCAGGTGCTTCCTCCTGGTCTCCCATGTGGGTGCAGGGCCCAAGTACTTGGGCCATCCTCCACTGCCTTCCCGGGCCACAGCAAAGAGCTGGACTGGAAGAGGAGCAACCAGGACAGAATCTGGTGCCCCGACTGGGTCTTGAACCCGGGGTGCCAGCGCCGCAGATGGAAGATCTTAGAAAAAAAAATCAGAGGCCGGCGCCGCGGCTCACTAGGCTAATCCTCCTCCTTGCGGCGCCGGCACACCGGGTTCTAGTCCCGGTCGGGGAACTGGATTCTGTCCCGGTTGCCCCTCTTCCAGGCCAGCTCTCTGCTGTGGCCAGGGAGTGCAGTGGAGGATGGCCCAGGTGCTTGGGCCCTGCACCCCATGGGAGACCAGGAGAAGCACCTGGCTCCTGCCGTCGGATCAGCACTGTGCACCCGCCGCAGTGCGCCAGCCGTGGCGGCCATTGGAGGGTGAACCAACGGCAAAGGAAGACCTTTCTGTCTCTCTCTCTCACTGTCCACTCTGCCTGTCAAAAAATTAAAAAAATAAAAAATGAAAAAAAATGCAGACATCTTTTGAAAAAAAAAGAAAAGAAAAAAAGATCAGAGCCAAAGCAAATAGAAAAAATTTTTTCTTTTTTTTTCTTTTTTTTTTTATTTGAGAGGCTGGTGTTGTGGCATAGCTGGTAAAATGACTACCTGCAATGCCAGCATCCTGTATAGGCACCAGTTCAAGTTCTGGCTGTCCCGCTTCCAATCTAGCTCCCTAATGCACCTGGGAGAGCAGTGGAAGGAGTCCAAAGTGCTTGGACCCCAGAATCCATGTGGAAGACCCAGAAGATCCTGGATCCTGACTTCGGTCTGGCCCAACCCTAGTCCTTTATGTTCGGTTCGGGAGTGAACCAGCAGATGAAAGATATCTCTTTCTGTCTCTTCCTCCTCTGTGTACAACTCTGCTGTCCAAATAAATAACACAAATAAAAAAATTAAAAAGTGATTGATTTATTTGAAAGG